AAGAATGTGATGCCGTATTTTTCCAGGGACACGACTCGTGGTTCAGAACCATATATTTAATTTGTGTTCAGTGCGGCATTTCATGATGGGATTTTGCCATATTCCAATTTATTTAGTTTTAATGCCATGGTTTATATATGAAGTTTGGATTTTGAATAATGGCCGCCGATTTGTATTAAAACGCTTCCACCGAAATAGTTTCCCCCCGGTTTCCATTTACTTAAATAGCCAATATAGTAGCATGCGTTGCACAAGGTGCTGTATTTGAGCTCCCTGTAAAATGTGTTTTGTCCATGTCATTGGTTTTCGTGCTGCCGTGCGGTTTTTTTTTTTACAAGGGGAATAGCAGCCTGGACGGACTTGCACATTTGAATGCTTGCGTAAAAATAACAGCTGCTCTCTCCTCCTCTGTGTAAATTCTGCCACTACTCTGCTACACTGAAAATGGATTTTTGGCCCCCTTATTTTAATAATAGTAGACACACATGGTTTTTGGTGACAGAACAGTATGCTCACGCATTCGTTTGGCACGGAGAGCTACAGTTGGCTGAAGATTAAACCGAGGAGAATACGTTCACACCATGACCACCCTCAAGGCTGCTGAACCATTCGTATCGCGGCCGCCTCCGTCGAATCCAAAAACCACAATTAATGGCTGATGAGGAATTCGAGCTCTGCGCCTCGCCGTATCCGGTCGTGTGATTAACAAGTGGATCGCCGCTCGGCCAGCCGCTCCTTGCGCTGCGGAAAGAGAGCCGCATCTCTCGTGCTGCATAGGCCGTGATTTTTTTCCCCCAATTAATTGTTCTGTTTAGTGCGCTTTAACTTGATGGGCCAAAAAAAAAAAGCATTGCGTCATTCTACTCCAAATATTCAAAAGGCAAAGCCTGTGTTTATCGCAATAATCATGTATTTCAAAGAATAGGTGATTAATTTTAACAAGTAAAAAATGTAGTCGACATCTGAAGACGTTTTCTGCGTCATATTTAAAAAAGCTTTTCTCCTGGCAATGTATTATAACATAATTGAATTTTATTTTATTGATGTGCTATTGTAATAATAGTGAAACACGGTGATTTTTTTTATTTCCTTTTGTGCACAAGGACTTAAGAAATATTGCTGAGTAGTTAAGAAACTTGTAAAAATGTCTACCTTATTTATTGGAATTTAAATCTAATAATAGTTAATTTTCATAACCTCCATAAGACGTAGCATAACATATGTTCCAATAATTAGTCTCCCCGGTGTTTCGGTTTTCTGAATTTGTCGGAGCAAATCACTGAAAACAGGCACACGTTTCCGTTTCTAAAAATAAAACCAATTTAAGTTTTTTCACCCCCCAAAAAAATACCTTGACTGTGCCCTGCTTGCATTAAATCTAATGATTTACTCGTTTCCTATTTTTAAAAATTACTTTAACCAGCACTGTGAGGTGGGGGCAATTTTAGAAAGGTTACGAGCCATTACACTTGTCCGAAATAATGCGTAGGAATAGTACAGATATTGTTTTCCCTCTCCGTTCGAACTCAGTCTTATAAAATTGCTCAATATAAATTTTATTTTTTAGATGTCTAGCTGCTATATTTAGATACTTTTTGAGTCAGCAGAAAATAAAATCTGTGAAGCAGAACATGCAATTCATCTTTCATGATGACCGTTCCTCAGCTTCCAGAGAGCGTTGTAAAGGGCAGGAGCGCAGCGCATGAATGAGAGAAGTTTTTGCTTTGCAAATGCATGCAAATGGCTGCCCCCCACCTCTCGCCGCCCCCTCCTTTTTTTTTCTTCCAAGGACAGGCAGCGCGCTTTGATTCTGAGCAGGGCTGCCGTTCGGACGTGCTGAAAAGGAGCAGGCTAGAGAGCCATTGATTAGTGGAGGCAGGAAGAGGAGTGAGGAGAGGGCCCCAGCGCTAAGCTGCCAGAGCGGCAGGCGGATGTCAGTGTGGTTAGTGCACAGAGAGAGAATGACGGGGCGGATTAGTGTCAGAGAGAGGCTTTGCGTAACTGTGGAGATGGTCCTGGAGGTCGCTCACCTCTGAGTCAGTCGCTCTGTACTGATGGTCTCCTAATGCAAACTACACTCTGCATGCTTGTGAATTACCTTGGACGGCGATCTTTCAAATGACTTACGTCCGGCTTGACAGAGGGGAAAACCCCCTCAGAGCCTTTTGTGAACAGTGGGATTTTTTTTGTTGTTGTTGCTTTGTTCCTCTTTCTAATTTGAATGTGCTTAATTGGAAATCATTAATGCTTGTTTATTTGGTTATTGATCTGTTTGTTTAACATTTTATCTTACACAGTCACTAGCACAGCTATTGATTAGGTGATATCATTCTTTAGCTGGATTTGTACAACGAAGCTGAAACATTTTGTCGTCATCTGCGAAGTGCTGGGTTCAGTTTAATTACAGGCAGAATAAACTCCACG